GTTTATATTTTGATAGTTTTCACATTTTTATTCTAAGCCTCAAAAATATAAATAGTATTAACCTATCTCATGGATAGTTTATATTTTTATCAAGTTTTATCATGAATATATTCGGCATCACTATCACAGATCAAACTGAAACCAGTCTAAGATGAAATTGAAAATCCTAAAAACATTGAGATAAACTATATAAATTAAAACTTACTATACTTATTTATATTACGGCGTGTTATAAGATATATGTTGATAGTTGTGCTGCATCATAACTATATATTCGATATCTATTTAATTATCTTATCAATAACAAGATATTATTCGATATTTTTAAATGCAGCTACTTATTTTAAAAAAATTTCATATAAATATAAATATATAATATGGTTTAATATCCAATTGACCCATTCTAACCTAGTGTTCTAAATCTGGCCAAAAAATGCAATTATTAGTTGACCAAGAATTTTTTTTATTGTGATTTGCAAAATTAAGTGAAAAAAAAAAAGAAATCGATGATTTCTGATTTCCGAAAAAAAACTTTTTTTAATGGTCAAAATTTATTATCCCGGAACATGCTTGATGTACAGTGTTATTTTTTTTATAAAACTTCTAAAACTTATTGTAACTGTGAAAAAAATATATTTCCAACAAAAAAAAAAAAATTATACTAAAGTTCCTTTATGTTTTTATAATAATTCTTATAAGATTGAATTTGGTGCAACTTTTAAAACTTCTTGTTCATCATGCAATATAAATTTTATTGGAACAAAAATTTAATAATACATAGCCAAATTCTTTACAACATGATAAATATGCAAATTATATTTCTACAAAAGATACTAGATCAAATACAGTATATTAAAAATAATGAATCTACACTTTAATTTCCGCAAAAAAAATTTATTTTACAAACCGCAATAAAATCGATTCATATCGACGGATTTGCACAGTCTAATAAATATAAGAACTCATCGGTTATAATTCCGGCCAAAATTGTTGATCACTTGACCAGATCTTGAGTAAAATAATTGATAATTTTGACCGGAATTATAACTGATGGGTTTTGATCCGCCGATATGTAAAAATTGATTGATTAATAACTAATCGATAATCTATTGACTAATTGATTAGATTGGATATAATTTGGATTATAGCTAAAATCTTTGATTTAAATGATACTTTATGAGTGTGCCAAGGAAAAACCTACAAGTCATGATTTTTAAATATTCGCTTTTAATAAAAATATCTCTTAAAATTTTAATATTATTTTGAATCGGCTCATTAAGACGATTCAAATATTGAAATCTTAAGTGTTCAATTGCCTGATTTTGGGATATTTTTATTAAAAGCGAATATTCAAGAATCATGACTTGTAGGTATTCCCATGGCAGCGCTTATATAATAGATTATGGCGGCTTGTAAAAAGAGGTTCGAGAAAACTCTATTATAGGTCCCCGACACAAAAAAATTCTTTTTCTTAATTAAGCGAATCAGTTTTACTATCACTTCCAAGAATTTATTAGTAATGCATCATTTTAGTCGATAACCTTTGATATTCATATATAGTTTCTGGAACCTTTCGGATTTTTTCGAGGCTTTATCTCAATTTTTGTTCTGACCTTGCTCGTATTTTACGTTCATTGATTTTCTATCAGGAATAATTCGGACCTGTGCTAACAATTCTAATCTAAATAACGGTAACTTTTTATATTCTATATATATATATGCGAATCTACTCCCGGTCAGTGACCTTTTTTCTGAGAATTATATAAGGTCGAGGACTTCATAAGACTTTATAATAATTCGAATCTATGATAAGTCGGCCACATTTTCCAAATTTATAGTTGTACGTGTATTCGAATATTGCCGTGGCAGAGACCTATAATCAGTGTGATTTGAAATTTATGTTCTCATGAAAACAAATTTATTTATAGCGGTTTGCAAAAAGGTGTGACCTCTTTAGATCATGATGCCATCGGGAAATCAGTCAATTCTAGTAGATTTTTCGATTCTTGGAGAATTTAGAAAAGTGGATATTGGTCAAAGGTTACATTTAAAAGTGGATAAAAGCTTTTAATGTTATATTATTAAAAGTGGATAAAATTAATAAGATTTAAAATAAAATTTGGATAACCAAATAAAAAAGAAAAGAAAAGAAAAAAAAATTTTTTTTTTGAGGAAAATTTTTTTTTTTGAGAAAAATTTTTTTGAAAAAAATTGCTATATTTGATAATTGGTTAAATTTTATTATATATTAAAGCTTATATGTAAAATATGGTTAATTAGCTCTAATAAAAAGTGGATAAAAATTTTAAAAAGTTTATATTAAAGCTAATGTAACCTCTATATATATTGTTCGGGGTCCTACCTAATGTGGGTGAGGAATAAATGTACTCTAACTAAATAATATCATATCACACGTTATAGAAAATTCAGAAATTTGATTTTATTTCTACTGAAAAAAATATAAGTTCAATATAAGTTCATGTAAATAAAATTATCTAAAATTTATCAAGGTAAGGTTACATTACTGCATTATACAGATATAAATGTTTGGATCATATATAATAGACTATAAAGAGTAAAAGTTTATCTTTAGCCAATCAGAAAATCTTTCTGATCAATAAACAAACTTTCGTCTATATATTGAATCAGTTTTATTACAAAATTTTAAGCAATTTCTTTTCTTACGCTAATGGCAGGAAACCATTTAGAAATACTTTCGACAAATTATCTTGAACTTCTTAATGATAAAGAAGATTTTAACGTAATCATTAATGCGGAGAATCTCCAGATACAAAGACATTTCGTGCACATTCGAACATTTTGAGATATAGGTCATTATATTTTCGTGATAAATTAGCCAACGCTACTAAAGATACAAATAACTTTAAGATAATTGATTTAAAACATGTTTCTATTCAACAATTTGAGGTTATTATTAAGTAAGTATTGTATGTTTTTTTAATGATATATAAACTATACATATATCGAGAAAACTAAATTTAAAATATAAATATATTTTACAAATTTTTTTTAATAAGATATATTTATGGAGGAGTAATTTGGTCAGAAAATAAAGAAACATCATTCACTTTTAGTCTCTTGCTTATTGCTTCAGAATTTCTTTTAGAAGAATTAACTAAAGATATTGAAAATCATTTAGTTGAAACAAAAACTGATTGGCTTCGTTTAAATTTTAAACAAATTTATCAAAAAAGTTTTCAAAATAATCTATTTCAAGAATTACAAAATTGGTGTAATGAATTTTTAGCAAAGTATCCAAATAAGATTTTTGACTCTGAAGAATATACATTACTTCAAGAAAATGCGTTAGTCTCACTTATTAAACGAGATGATTTACGAATGGAAGAAGTAAACCTTTGGAATTATGTTATCAAATGGGGAATTGCACAAAATCCAGGCTTATCATTAAGTGAACCTGAAAATTGAACTAGTGAAGATTTTTCTACTTTAAAAATTACGTTACGAAATTGTTTACCTCATATACGTTATTTTCAAATATCTGGAGATGACATTGTTGATAATATAGAACCATATCAACCAATCTTGGAAAGATATAATGAAAAGAATTACGAACCCAAATCGGGAGATATCATCAACAATTCTTCCACCTCGAGTAACATCGATACGTGCGATGAAAACAATTATTAATGAAGCACATGCAGCCGAAATTGCAACATGGATTGATAAAAAGTCAGAAACATATTCGGTATTAAATAATCCTTGTGAGTTTAAATTACTTATTCGTGGAACCAGAGATGGATTTACTAGAAAATCATTTTGGAAAGTATGTGATAAGAAAACAAATATTCTTGTGGTCATGAAGGTTGAAAATACTGATGAAATTCGTGGAATGCAAAAATACTTTTATTTTTTCGTTGAAAAATGGTACGATTACTTCCTCTATTTTAAGTCGGGTAATAGATAAAGAATATGCAATTTATTGTCATCCTAATTATGGTCCATGCTTTGGTGGTTGGTTTTGCGGTGATCTTAAAATGATTTATGATAATTGTGGATGTAGTTGTATGCAAACTTCATATGAAAAGCCAATCAGAAATAAAAGCGGTTTGTTTTCAATATCAGAATACGAAATATTCCAGATTCAAAGAAAATAAAATAGCCAAATGGATTATCAATTTATATGGTAAATATGATTAAAGTTCGGAGATTAGGAATTTTCTATTAAACAACATATAAAATAAAGTTTATTATAAGTTTCTTTTTCAGACTTTACTACAAACCAAAAATTATCGACACCCACGTTCTCATTCTCTGATCTCCTTTTTAGCCTTCACAAACTTTCTTGTGTTACAACAAAATATCCAACCTGACTTTTCCGAACTTACAGTGACAAATAATAAACAAAATATTGTACTGTATATGCCATTTTTTGATTTTGTGACAATGATTTTTAGTATAAGCAATAAAACATAATTCGTTGACGTTTGTGACGATTTGAAGATCCATAATGATGTAAAAAGTGGAATGCGTAGCGTACTTGAAAAATTATTTTTTCTAATCAAACAATGAAAAACTTCAACTGATAAGCGAGACACTGAGAGAAAAAAAAGATATTCGGGCCTCCATTTCTTGTTAATTGGAATGATAAATGTTTGGATCGGTTAAACGATCTTCCGCTGATTAAATTTTTATCTTTGACGCATTAAACTTATCATCACATGTTTTATTCATTAGAATCATATATAACTTGGATTAAAGCAAATTAGCCAATCATTTGAATTTCTATCGAATACGTAATGATATATTTTTCGTATTGGCCCTAAATTTGGTAAATTTGACCATAAACGATAACAATGGATTCCTCTATTTATCAATGATGCAGATTCTCCCATATGCATTTACCACAATCTTTTCCGTGAAGTGGACGTGTATTTAATGTCCCAAAGGTTTTTTTTAAAAAAATAAAAAAAATACAGTATTTTTAAATCTTTGAGCTCATAAAAAAGTCTACTAAGGCAATGGGCAAAAAACCTCTTAAAGTAATGATGAATCTTCCTAGGCATAAGATACCTTCGCCTAAAAGGAAGTGTGAAAAAATGCCAGAAGACGAGGTCTCATAAAGGTAGAGATGCTCAACAATGTAACTTTTGTAATCAAATAAATCCGAGTGGCAATGAAATCATGGACAAATGGATTGCTAAAATAAATAGATATGAATATTTTATTGAGTTTATGAGTTTATTCCATACGAAAAATTTAGGAAAATTACTTATTACGCTAAAGGTGAATTTTTAAGGCAAAATATGATGATTTAAAAGGAGATTGGAATAAAAAGAAGCAAAAATTCTCTAGTAAAGGTGAATGTTATGTTGCACTCAAAAGTCTTAACAATTCTAAAAATATAAGCTCGGGTTATTTAAATGAGGTGCATATATGTCTTTAAAGTTATTTTTTTTTTTTTTTATTATAAGCTCTATATTTATTAATTTATTATATTTTTATTCAATTTAGTTAGAAACTTACCTTCGATGCGCAAATTCCGAAAATTCATCACAATATTTACAAAATTATATTGCTATTTCACAGCATCCGGAAACAAAAGACTTTATTCTTATAACAGAATTTATTCAAAATGGTGACTTGTACAACTTTATTTTAAAAAATTCCAATACTTTGACTTGGAGAAAAAAGCTAGATATCTTAGAATCTATAGCCAAAGGACTCGAAAAAATTCATAGAAAAAAAATTATTCATCGTGATCTTCACAGTGGCAATATTCTTGTTAGTAGTTCGGGTCTCGGCTTGATTGGAGATTTTGGTATAAGTAGACCAGCAAATGAATTATTAAATAAAAAAGAAGTATTTGGCATTATTCCATATGTTGCACCAGAGGCGTTTAAGAAAAAAATTTATACTGAAGCTTCAGACATATATAGTTTTGGAATGATTTTATGGGAAATGACAAGTTATCAAAAACCTTTTTCCGACCGTGAACATGACTCGTGTCTTATTTTTGATATTTCTCATCGTGGTATTCGTCCAGAAATTATTGATGGTACTGTACACCACAACCTATTGTTGAATTAATGAAAAAATGCTGGCATGATGTTCCTTTAAAAAGACCAGATGCAAAATGTCTTTGTAGACTTATTCAGCAAATTCGATTTCATATAAATCTTGAAGAAATCATGCAAGTTCCACCCACAAAAGAAATAGATCTTCAAACAAAATATACAAGCAAATTACTGAATTCTTTAATAACAGGTGCTTATACATCAAAACTAAAATATACTGTTTCTGGTTAGTAAATATCATACTTTTAATATTTAACATACGGTTAAAATAAATTTACATTTTACTCTGATTATTTTTATAAAAATTTTTAAATTTCAGAATATATCACAAAAGAAACCTCATTTAACATCATGGATGGAAAAGAAACTTCATTTAACATCATGGATGAAAATGAAGCTTCATTTAACATCATGGATGAAAATGAAGCTTCATTTAACATCATGGATAACAAAGAAGCTTCATTTAACACCATGGATAAAAAGGAAACTTCATTTAATCATGGATGAAAAAGAAGCTTCATTTAAAATCATGGATGAAAAAAGGTAAGATATTACATATTTTAGTTAATTGTAAATATTTAACGCTTTATCGGTATTAAGGTTTTTACAAATACAAACTTTAAAAAATTAAAAAAATTTTACCGTTTTAAAGCTTATAATTGATATTAGATGATTAACTGTTAATGTCACAGACTTTTACGTAAGTACGTAGAAATAAAGTTATATAATTCTGTAGTTGCATATTTTGTTATTCTTTTATTATCTCTTATTGTCTCTTATTGTTAAACATTCTATTTACAGTTAAATCTGGATATAATGAACCTTTTTATAACGAATCCACTCCATAAAGACCTTTTAAAAAATTAATTATGTATAAAAACATAGTAAATTACTTTATAAAGAACTTTTTGGAAATTATTTATAAGAACTACCAATTCGTTATCGAGAGAGCTGACTTTTGTTATAATTCTAATAAACGTAGAAATTATACAGTAGTAACTACCGAATAAACGCGAAATAACGCGCAGGGGTGTAATTTCGAATTTTGGCCTAAATTAAGCTTAATTCGGGTCATTATTCGAAATAACATCCCTGCGTTATTTCGCACTTATACGGTTTATTAAATATAGTTTAGTATTAGTCTGACAGAAGATTTAACCTTGAAACTATCGAAGATTTACCTAACATATGACAAGTTAAGATGTAGTTATTATCTAATACAATAAATAAAGCCGTAACGTTTTTTATAATAAAATCAGGAATCATAAGAATGTTTTTTGCTTTGTTTCTATCTTTAATACATAAACATCCTGAGTCATTTAATAATGTTCCAAATAAAAAATCGATTAATCGTTTAGTTTATCAAGTAGGCATAATCGATTAACTGATTATGGCGTTTGCAAAAAGGTGTGACCCAGTGATTTCGTAATATTGAAGCGGAAAATTTCCGAGATTTAATCCCTATTGATCAATATTTTATTCGTATATTTCTATATTTTTTTTTCAGCTCTACTCACTTCACCGCCGCACCTTTTAGACACAATACTCGCAATACTTCACAAACAATCGATTTACCGACATGTTTATATTACAGACAATCAATTCACAGACAAATTCACATCATAGTTTATTTCAGTGTTGGCAATTGAGCAAATTTGACATATCGATATTATAAAATTCTATTAATCCAATTACATAATCCATATGTTCATGACAAATGAAATTTATATCATAATCCAAATGCCAACACTGGTTTATCATCTGTTCACACCCTAAATTAATTATAGCCCCAAATTTTAAATTATAAATACTCCGACATATATTTTTTATGATAATTAATCATATGCCAATACGTAATTTATTA